TATAGAAATTGGGTTTAGAAATAAAACATGTTTAATTTTAGGGTCTTTTGGAAGCCGATATATTAAATTAGACATAATTGTAAAAAAATATACAAAAAAAATATGTTGTAAAAAAATATACTACTAAAATACAAAGACTTAACTGTCCATTTTCTAAAATTTAAGTATACTGCTAAAATACAAAGACTTAACTATCCATTTTCTAAAATTTACTTTCTAAAAACGGTTTTAAAAATATATCTTAACATCAATTAGTATACAATGATAAGACTTAACCACTGAATTTTAAGAACATTACTTTCCTAAAAATAGTTTTAGGAATATATCTTAAAATTAATTAGGTACACAGTGATAAAGCTTAACCGTTGGATTTTAGGAACATTAATTCGCTTCTTCTTTCTATCAAAAAACTGTTTCATCTTCCTCGGTGAGAAGCCCTAAATCATTCCCTGAACATCTATAGAGTTTCATCTTTCAAAGAAAAATCCTACTGGTCCGCCATTATAGATGTAAGTACGTTTGTGTTTTCCGCATAATGTAATAAAGACATGTAACACTGTAACACAAATAATGTTCAGTGATTTTTGTGGATGTAATAACAAATTCAAAATAGAGCTGGACTATTATGATCAAGTTATATGCAAATATATGTTTGACAAAATATAACAATACAGTGTTTTGTATAAGTAAATTTTTACATTGTTATTGTTACATTATAACCACATATACAAGATGAACTTTGGTTATGGTGTTCGCATATAAAAAAAAAGGAATAATATAATCACCTTTAAAATGACAGACATAAACCTAATGAAGTTATGAATTCAACCCTTATAATTTGTTTAGATTGAATGATAAAGATGAAATAATATTTTGGACTTGCACTGATAAATTGCTTCCAGGCCGAAGAAGAAGAAGAAAATAAATGATACTGTTGTAAAATTTAAAATTCAAATCAACTAATTTATCCTCAAAATAAACGGAAGAATTAAATCTTCCATTAAATTAGGAAATTTTTAATACATAAATATAATTTGAAAAAATAACACAATATTCAAAAATAATCACACGATTTAAGGGAGAACACAAATGTCAAAGGAAAATCAAAAAATTTCAAATTATGTTGTTGTACATAATTAAGATCTAAAATTAAGGACTTCCTTATTTTATATTTTCTTCTGTATATTTTTTTACAATTAAACCCAATTTAGTATACCCCTTCCAATTTACTGTTAATTTTAATTTAGAAGTCCATTTTCCATTCTCAGTCCAACCCATCTCATCAACAATTCAGCCCTTAAAGTATTTTCAATCATGACTCAAATTTTACTCAAATTTAAATCTAAATTTGAGTAAAAAACTTAATTTGATATAAAATACTCTGGTGGACAAACTCAAATTTAAAGAAAGAAAGATTCAAATTTAAATAAAGGCAAATCCAAATTTAAAAGAGAGTAAGGATGACCATTGAATTTTTAAAATATGGTGAAATCTCATCATTAAAGATTTGAATATCTCTTAATTTGAGTAAAAAAATGAGTTTTCTTTAATTTGATATAAATTTGAGTTAAGAATTGGAGCAAATTTTTTAAATTTTTTTACTCAAATTTAAATTTGAGGCGGATATGCCTTAAGGCTTACTCCTTAGTTGCCATAGCCCCTGTAACACCATCACATTTCATTATCCGCCTCCAATTCACACGATCTCTTCCTTTCTTCCCTCCAATTCCATTCGCCCTAGCTCTAATTCTCTGTACCTTCTGTGTGCGTGTGGATTGTGTGGTCAGTACAATTTTTTTCATGTTAAAGGGGTCTTTAATTGTGGCAGGTGGAAGGGTTGATCGTATGGATCCTGAAATTGATTCAAAATGACCCATTTATTTGGAGGTTTTACACGGATTGTTCTGGATAACCCACTAAATAAGTGGGTCAGGTTCTTTTTTTGGCAATCCTCGTCGGTTTATATATACGATTTGTATACGAATTAAATAATTTTGAACATGAACCTATTTAATTCGACACGAATTCACTTAACCCGATACGATTGTCACCCCTAATCGAACGTATATTGGTGGACAGTCCATTTATATATTGGACTTTACTTATATCTATTATGTGATAATCTTCCATTGAAAGAAATCAAGAGAAAGCGTATTAGAACAAAATCGAATCCGTCAATAATCGTGGTGTGCCAAAAAGATTAAGACAGAAGAAAAAGTAATAACCACTAACCAAACCTGATTCTTATTTTGATTAACTCTAAAATGCAAGCCCTCAAGAGACCCAAAATATTGTTTTTCAATCATCCTTATTCTTTAAATTTAAAAATTTTAATTGATTTTTGAGATTGGGTTCTGGTCTATCAAACCATCTGTAAGCATGTAAAAGGAAAATCATTAAAGAGAAGGATATTGTTGTGAACAATTTTCTTGTATGCAAGGGTAAGATAGCGTATATGTAGCCATTTTCCGAACCTATAGAAAAAGAATAGTATGACAAAAGCAAAAGATATTTCCAAACACTAGTGGAGTGAATCAGTTTCCACCAAGCCAGAAAACTATTTGCTCTGAATACAAATGCAATTTCCAGTGCCAAACTTGCAATGAGTTCCCACCAAATGGAGAGGAAAATGAACAAGAAGACAAGAAGTGAATGTGCTTACCTACTAGATTTGTATTAAGACCTATTCTTCCACTGTTTTCCGGCCTGCAAACTGACTCGGTTTTGCCTAGCTGGTACACAGCTACAGTTGTACGTCTACACGCCTCATCAACCCCCACCCTTCAGATGTTGATAGTTTTAGATTCTAGCTTTTGTCACTTTTGATCGATTATTCTGACCATGTGTATTTTACCCCTGCCATTCGAAATACTTCTCATGTTAGTGGTCCAACTTACATAAGTTTAAATAAACCAAACACAGATTGAAAGCAGGAGAATAAGACGAACATGTCAATATAACAGCATTCGGCATTCAACCTAAAAGAATTGTATTCACAAACACATCATTCAATTTATAGGACATGCATCTACGGACACGACGGTCACAAGAACTTCCTCATTGTAGCTTAATTATCGGCTCGATATGTGAAACACACCCATACATATGGTGGAAAATCATTTCACTATGAATGAATAATATGATAATACGATATATCTACCCTAAATTAAGTCTACTATTTAAGTAATAGTAAACCATATTGATCTATTTCTAATTGTGTATGAAAAAATATACCTCGGGATAATGTCATATATAACCGAATTTTCATTCGTCCAACTCTCATCTACCACCTTATGATGTTCCTATAGATTCTAGGTGATGTCCCACATGATCAGGTAGAATACTGTTAGTCAGACCTTAAAATTTGACTTAATCTATTAATCTAATGATGTGTTTTTATTTTAACCATTGAATTAATATCAAGTTTCAATGCTTGAAGAAATCCACAGTCAATTTAATGGTTCTAGTGATTAGGTCAGCAAATTAGATCTCAATAGCATTGCTCGATTGTAATTTGAGAAAATTTCGACGTTCAATTAGGGTCAACACTTCTTATATTCGATCAAAAAGTCCGACACCACAAAATTGTTGGGCATGAGTTCATTTTTCAAGGAATAGGTTGTAAACAATTTTAACTGTCAAAATCGTTTAAAAAATAGATCAAGATTATACATTATAAAAGTTAATTTTTTATAAAATTAAATAAATTTTGGCACAGACCCGATAGAAGTCAAGTCATTACCAACACTGCATTAAGTGCCCCCTTTAATTAGATATTTACGTATTGGACACCCTAGCCTAGGCATCAAAAGTCATATTCGGTTCTTGGAAGCAATATTTATCATTGGGAAACGTCCCAATACAATAAATATCTTCAGCTGGCATTTGCGTACATCATGTAACCGGCTTGGTGCGCTTAATAAATTAAATTAAATTAATAGTAGCTATCAATTTCTTTATTGCAGATGTTAACAATTGGGTTGGGTTGGTATTTTGCCAACTATTTATTGATACAATCATTTTGGGTGGGCAAGTTTTTTTTTTTTTTTTTTAATATTCTTCTTCTTCTTTATATATATGTTTTTAAGTTATGCTCTTTTTATTTGTTTTAACGGTTATGGTTATCCGATCCAACTTATGCGTATATCGACTAATCTTTTCTCCGATTCAGTTAAACATAAATCATCCACACCGAAACTATAATATATCTCTCATGGCCTAACCCTAAAGATTTGTCAATATATAAACTCAGAACGTCTGATTATATGACTTTGACTTCAAAAACTAACCACATTCATTGTTAAAATATTCTCATTCAGTTCTCCGAAACTCTATAAGATTTTCTATTTTGTCAAGTTAAAGTAAACAACGTTAATTGACTCTCCACGGAACTTCTCTTTTATTAATTATTAACCTAAAAAAAATGGCACACACATTCTTCGTTAAAACGCTATTAATTGTACGTTAATGGAGTGAATGGATTGTTATAACTTACAACTAACTCTTCTTTTTAAAATGCTCAAAGATATGTACGTTATTATTTGGAAGTCTAATTTTAGACCAAGCCTATAGGACCCCACCCTACCCTACCCTACCCTACCCTACCCTACCCATCCCTTGAGTTAGAAGTTAACTAATAAATTCTGCTGAAAATTAGTTTTCATAAGCATCGGAATTATAAGTGCGTATTTATTCGGTGAAGACTAGCAACAAAAGTTTTTCGTTATCAAAAAAATAAAATAAATAAACATTGGAATTAGATTGGCTAATGACATTTGAAGTTAAAGGATGATGATACCTAGCTATAGGGTACACCTTGGCTGCTTCCAATGTTTAAACTTTAATATTTAAACTTTAATAAGTAATTGCAATCGAAACAAATCTAAGACACATTGTAATAAAAAAATCATGAAAAATGGAAAAAAACCAAGCAACTATTTAAGTTGATGAATATTTACATCTTTTGAGCTAAAGGCTCCACTAACGAAGCTTCCTATTTTTTCCCGGTCACCCCCAGTGAATATTAAATGCTGTCTGTCTCTCTCTCTCTGTCTGCACCTTTAAAGAAATTCTCTCTCTGTTCTTGGAGTAACCACTTTACTCCAATTTTTGTACCAGTACATGCGATTCATCTCTACGTGGACTCACCCAGAAAAAGGTTGGTTAGCCCTCTAAAACCTTAGTTGGCATCATTCCCATGCTGTTTGACTTTGCTTCTCCGTTGTTCTAATTTCTCAATATATTTTATTGATGCTATTGTATAATAAATCATGAATCTGTCAATACCTGGGGCGGCTCTCCAGTTCAAACCGGTTTTCCTCTTTGCAAGATTAAAGCTGTTTTGCACAAACTTTTGTTGGGTTTTCTTATTTGCATCCTTAGCTTTTGAATCTCCTATGGATTGTATCTGATTTGGCTCTCTTTGTTATTGCAAATCTGGGTCTTCAATCTCTGCTCTCTCTTGTGGCTGATATGATTGATCTCCAAGGTGCCTCCTTTTTCTGTACTAGGTTGTCTGTTCTTTAATGGTTTCATATCCTATGTTTTTGTGATTGAAAATCTCTAGTTCTTCTATTGCTGTTCCTTAATAAGAAACCCAGATTTAGCTTCAAGGAAACTCGAAAAAACCCATCGTTTTGATTCTAGAATTTCTAGTCTCTATGATGATGGGTGGTGGATCGTTTAAATTGTTCATCTGTGTTCTATTAGTACCATATTTCGCATGTTTTGCTAGTGGATTTACTCCTGCAGACATGTACCTTATAGACTGTGGATCACCTACCAACACTACGGTGGGTGACCGGGTTTTCATGGCGGATAACTTGGCCTCACAATTACTTTCAACCCCTGAAAACATCTTGGCCAATAATACATCCGCAAATTCTGCCACATCATCTGGTGATTCGGCTCTTTATCAAACAGCAAGAATTTTTACTGCAACCACGAAGTACACGTTTTCAATCAGCCAAAGAGGGAGGCATTGGATTCGCCTTTATTTCTACCCATTTGTCTATAGGAATTACAATTTGAGCTTGGCAAATTTCTCTGTTTCCACCCCAAATTATGTACTCCTTGGGAATTTTAATCCTGCTGGCTTGTCTTTTAAAGAATTTTCAGTAAATGTGACATCCAGTACTCTTGAAATCACCATGACCCCTTTCAAAAATTCGTTTGCCTATTTAAATGCTTTGGAAGTTGTCTCGGTCCCTGATATCCTCATCACTGATGATGCCGCCTCTGTCAACCCTCCGGGGAGTTTCCAAGGTTTGATGAGACAGGCACTGGAGACAGTTCATCGGGTGAATATGGGTGGACCAACTGTCTCTTTTGAGAATGATACACTATGGCGAACTTGGATTCCTGATCAGAGTTACTTGGTGCAAGTGAATCTTGCTGATAATGTATCAAATATCGCAAGTGTTAAGTATCCTGCGGGTGGTGCGACGATAGATATTGCTCCACCTAGTGTCTATGGTACTGCTGCAAAGATGAGATCAGAAAATGATCCGACTAGCAACTTCAATGTGACATGGGAATTCACTGTGGATCCAGGATTCCAGTACCTTGTGCGGTTTCATTTTTGTGATATAGTGAGCAAATCTCCTAACCAGCTCTACTTCAATGTTTATATAAATTCATGGAATGTTGTTCCTAATCTTGATCTGAGTACTAGAACCCTTGGCATTTTGGCCACTGCATATTATATGGATTTTGTTATGGCATCAGCTGATAGTAGTAAGCTTCGGGTGAGTATTGGTCCATCTCCAGTTAATAATGCTTACCCTAACGCCATTCTAAATGGACTGGAGATTATGAAGATGAACAACTCTGCAGGAAGCCTCAGTAAGGTGGCCTCTGTACCATCTTCCTCAAGGCCAGGCTCAAAGAAGAATGTGGGAGTGATTGCGGGTGTGAGCATAGGGGCATCAGTTGCTGTGGTGATGGCTGTCATTCTATTTTTCTTGCATAGAAGAAGAAAAATGGAACGTCTACGCCAGTCCAAAACGTGGATTCCTTTATCCATTAATGGAGGAACTTCCCACACTATGGGAAGTAAGTACTCCAATGGAACAACCGTTAGTGCTGGCTCTAACTTGAGCTACCGCTGTCCTTTTGCAGCAGTTCAAGAGGCAACAAACAACTTTGATGAGAGTTGGGTTATTGGAATTGGTGGTTTTGGGAAGGTTTACAAAGGAGTTTTAAATGATGGCACAAAAGTGGCTGTTAAGAGGGGTAATCCCAGATCCCAACAAGGTCTGGCAGAGTTCCGAACTGAAATTGAGATGCTGTCTCAGTTCCGCCACCGCCATTTGGTTTCATTGATTGGGTATTGTGATGAAAAAAATGAGATGATTTTGATTTATGAATATATGGAGAATGGGACCCTCAAGGGTCATCTTTATGGCTTAGGTCTTGCCAGCTTGAGTTGGAAGGAGAGGCTTGAGATATGCATCGGAGCAGCCAGAGGGCTTCACTACCTTCACACCGGCTATGCAAAAGCAGTTATTCATCGTGATGTGAAGTCAGCAAACATATTGCTGGATGAGAATCTTATGGCCAAAGTTGCCGATTTTGGACTCTCAAAGACAGGCCCTGAAATTGATCAAACCCACGTGAGTACTGCGGTGAAAGGGAGCTTTGGGTACCTTGATCCTGAATATTTCAGAAGGCAACAGCTGACAGAGAAATCAGATGTGTACTCATTTGGGGTGGTTCTGTTTGAAGTTCTTTGTGCCAGGCCTGTGATAGATCCATCTCTTCCAAGGGAGATGGTGAACTTAGCTGAATGGGCAATGAAGTGGCAGAAGAAGGGGCAGCTGGAGCAAATCATTGACGCTAATCTTGCCGGAAAAATAAGACCGGATTCTCTTCGGAAGTTTGGAGAAACAGCAGAGAAATGCTTGGCTGACTTTGGTGTTGACCGACCATCTGTGGGAGATGTCTTGTGGAATCTTGAGTATGCACTTCAACTTCAAGAAGCAGTTCTTCACAATGATCCTGACGAAAACAGTACTAATGTCATTGGTGACCTCTCTCCACTAGTCAATGATTACAACCATGTTGATGTTGTTTCAGATGCTCAGTTCGAAATGTCAAGTGCGGATGATCTTTCGGGGGTTTCAATGAGCAGGGTGTTCTCACAGCTGGTGAAGTCTGAGGGTAGATGATTGAATGAAGCTCGTATAAAAAGATGTGTTTAGCTCCTCCTCTTTGCTTAATACCTTTTTGGTTCTTCAACGGTCCAACCTCTACTCATGCCATCATGCATGGTACCTAAAAGATATTCCCTTCATTTTGCTGGAAATAAAAGAAGCAGACTACTAGAGTTAAAGGTCACCTTGCTTTAGGCAAAGTATTGGAAGTGCCTTTGAATACTATGAAGTGGCTTGCTCATTGGAGGAACTGAAGAGGTCACTTTCGCCTATGTCGTGAGCATTGATCGTTGAAGAGGATTGTGTGGTTGTTTTCTGCACTTATCATGGGGCATTGTGAGTTCTCTTTTGTACAAAAGAGTGAGTGGCTGTTACATTCCTTTTTTCTTTGGCTTTTTGCATGATTAATTACTATGTAGGATTGTATCGTGTGTGGCTCTTGAACAATTCTTAAGGTTACTGTAATCTTGTTCTCAACTTGTTGGACAGATGGTTCCACTATCCTTCCCTGGCTACCATGTCTATTATTGTGATCTTTCTTGGTACATCTAAAGTCAGCTATAGCGTGGTTGTCACTATATTGGTGTCCTTTGTTTTTTCTCCTAGAATCTTTGGAATGGTTGGGTATGCCTAGCCTCCATTGTAGGGAACCTAACCCATTGGAGCAGACGAAATGGGTGGTGCCTTATTGTTAGACTTTGGGGGTTTGGGAATGTATCCCCCCCCCGACCATCGAGTCAGTCTACGTTTGCTTTATATGACAAGAATTGATGTGTGAGTTCACCATAGTAGCTGTATTTTCTTTTTCTTTGGTAGACATGGAATTGGTTGTATTTTCTTTCTCTGTTATTGCTTGAACTATCATATAAGTTAAATTGAGTTTTGCTCATCAACAAAATTACTTATAATTCTAGGTTTAAGTCTTGTTTCTGGGATGAACAAGCAGGTTCTGCACTTGGGTACTCAAGTGAATCCAATGTTTGTCAGGAAGACCACCGCACCCAAGAAAGTACCGTATGAAATGATACAATATTTTAAGGTCTAAGTGTTAATATTTTAAAAGTGTAAATTATAAAAATCTGTAGAACATGATCGATGACTAAATGCTGTGATTAATTTCGAAAGTTATAACTTTTGAAAATCAAGGTATTATTATTCATAAAGATTAAATTATAATAATTCATAAAATAGAAATCAAAAATAACTTAATCAACAAAAAATTACCTCAAGTAATTATAATTTTATCTTTTAACTTCACATTTAAAAGAGAGAATTTTTTGTGCTGCCGCAACGCCGTGCTATCTAATATTTATATGTAGGTTTCCAATCAGTATGAAATTTGATTTGATAATTTAGCTTTATGTGCTGCAACTTCTTTGAACTTTCTAAATTTCTTAGGGGTTTGTGCATGTGGTTAAAGTCCTGTTATTTCTCTTTCCTGTGTCTCTTTTCCCTTCAAAGTGCTGTTGCTTACCGCAAAACAATTAATGATGCAACCACGCACACAGAATTGTTTGAATCACGTGTCATTGGGATTTGTTGAGGTTATTAGGTGCATACAATCATCCTCAAATCCATGCAACCATGCACACAGAATTGTTTGAATCACGTGTCATTGGAATTTGTTGAGGTTATTAGGTGCATACAATCATCCTCAAACCCATCTTCATTTTGTTAAAAAGATTGTCTTTTATCAGACTCGTGCTTCGGATCTCAAAAGTGTTTACTCCAAGTTATTAAGTAGTTAAATCATGTCTTTCGAGGTATCATAACTGGTTGCAATGTTCTTCTCTCTTTTGTCCTTCTATATGGGATAACAAGTCGTCATACACTATAATTCCTTGATCTCTTTCTCATTAAAATTGAGTCTGCGTTACTTTGATTTTATGTTGTTAGTCTAAGAGAGAATTATCAAAATCTTGTGGTTTAATTCTTTTAATGATTCAAATCACGTTGCACACGAAAAATCATTTTTTGACTCTCATTGGTTTTTTTTTTTTTTTTTTGTTAAACCATCAGGGATGTTTTAGGCTAGTTAACACGTACCTCAGCTAATACTTTTCTGATTTGATCAAAGGTAAGTCATCGATGTCGAGACTAAGAAATTCATGAGAAATAATTTACTCATAACTTGACTTTAAAGAATTATCAGTATTCAAATTTATGATACATTAATTTATAATTCGTCTGTATTATCACGTTAATCCCCCTCTTTTAGTCTTACGTCTCTTATTCATGGAAGGCTTTCTTCCATTTAACAATTTTTTTTTTCCTTTTCACTTTTGAGTGAATGGATTATTCAAGATAGTGAGAAAAATTGCACACCAAGTTCTTTTCAATACAAAAGCCCCATGACAAGAAAGTTCTGGATCCCAAGTAACTTCTATTAGTCAAATAGATACGAAATCTCATATTGCAATTATGCTAAGCCCGACATTAGTTTCAGTATTGTCGACAAACAGGTAATCCTTTAATCTCATTGTACAAACCGCACGAGATTTTAACTTCGTACGACTATTTACCTACGTTTTTTTTTTTTGGGAAGTTGCATCAACATCACAATATTTATTTATATATATAAAACAACTGTTTTTTTAGAAGAGAGGACTTGAAAAGTTTTTCTTCCCACTTTTCTTAATTTTTAGAATTTTTATTTAATTAATTACAATTTAAGTATTCTCCACTCAACAACCAATACTTGATGGATATACACATCAAAAAAAATAAAATACAAGACATTTCAAATTTCAAAAAGATATAAAAGACAACCAAGGCCTGTACTCAGATCCGCACTCAGACCTGTACCCCAACCCTAAACCTTGAGCTCATATAATAGTTTTTGATGATGCACAAAATAGGCTTATGCGCAGTCAACAGTCGAGTGTATGATTCAGGATAATTAATGAAGCAATCAATAAAACAATTAATAAATGAGACAAATATTGGATCAATACAAGTAACACACAAATGTATAGTAGTTCGGTCAAGATGACCTACTCTACTTTGAAAATGACAACAGTGGCTAGTGTTCTTTATTGATGAAATAGTAAGTGTGTGAGAGAGAGCAAGGGTATGCTCTTGGTGGCTATTAGAGAGATAATTATGTAAGGTGTGTAAAGAGATGTTCTTCTCATGTAGAGATGGCTTACAATTTATAGGCGTAGAGTCTTGGTTGAGGCGGTGATGTGATGGATAAATCACTAGTTTTTCGAGGTAGATAACTACAATTAGGATAGGTATAATCAAAGATAGTGTTGATATTCGAGAATGGTATCTCGATAATTATTCCCCCATGTGCGCTAATATTCTTGGATCCCTTGAACTTTGATCTGAGCCGAATCCATGAACTAGGTTTGACCTACCTTGTAGCTAATTTCGATTTATTTAATTAATTGAGTCTGATCCAGGTAAATCTGGACTCATTATTTGCACCCCATGCCTCAAGCCCTGATTGTAACACATAGGTTGAGGGCATGAGTGAGCCTCTAGATAGCTAAGGGTTTTTTGCTCCCCACGGTAGTCTTCAGCTTCTCTTACAAACCTCCATCCATACCGGGTAAATGGCCACACATCTTCCTCCGTTGGGTCTTCAATGTTTTGGATAAAAGTTTTACTTTTTCACAGGAAAATCCCCATTTTCTTTTCAAATTTAAAACTTGAGGTTTTAAGGGGTCAATGCAATCCTGACCCAATTGTTGTGTCAAATCTTCTTCATTCTAAAAACCCATTGAGAGAGCTTGTGGAAAAAAAATCATGAAAGTTCATGGGAGAATGACAAAAAAGGGACTTGCCGACAGCTCTGAGAGGGAGATGGTTGCTGAGTTTTTGGGAGAGACTGGCCCAAGAGCATGGGCGACTCCAGACGGCTCCATGAGCAAATTAACAGTGAAATACCTTGGTCCAGGTGGTGAGATTGTGGCAAATCTAGGCGCTGGTGTAAGGGATGATGCAGTGTATAGGACAGGTAGCTTGGGCATCGGCGTGAGCTTAGGCACTGCTGGCATCGCTTATTTTGGTCTACGTGCCAGTGGTAGCAGTTGTAGGTGTTGGGATTTCTCACGATTTAAATCCACTAACAAACACACACAATCGAAGAACAAATCAAGAATATAAAGCAATAAGAAACAAGAAAGAACAAAACACAGATTTTACGTGGTTCGGCAATTTGCCTACGTCCACGAAGCTGCAGGGATTTCACTATTGAGAGAGTTGAATACAGAGAGCGGCTGTACCATACACGATTAACCCTAATCACCAAAACAACAGGGTTTATATGTCCTATGCACTGGGCTGTATAACGGGCCCAAAATTTTTCCAGTGGCGCCATTAGGCATATGGGTAGCGCTAATGGTGTTGAAGCTACTGCTGCTGGAGTGGGCTAGAACAAGAGCGAGCCAGGTGGCGTCAACAGGCTGCTGGGCAACACCAGCAAGCCAAGTAGCGCCAGTAGGAGTAGGCGCTAGGCTGGTGCTGGTGTTGGCTGCAGACCCCAAGGACATGGGCAACACCTTGGAGAAAGAGGTGATGCCAAGGCCTGTTGGGCAGCGCCCTAAAATGAGTTGATGGAAGGGGACACCAGGACTGGTTTGGGCGACGCTAGGGAGGCCTAGACATAGTCAGGAGAGGGGGCGCCGATCAAAGTATCAGAAAATTATGAAAAAGGGCAAAATTTTTGAACGGCCATAACTTTGCGCTTGGTTGTCCGTTTGAGGCGATTTTTTTTTTTTTTTGAATTTGAGTATTTTTTCGAGATCTACGACGTCCAAATCGCTTGTTTTTTGAACTACAAATTAGTGAAAAAATAAATTTTGCACATGTTTGCCTTTTGTATTCCCAACTATGTGAGGAATCAGCTCGCCTTGCTTTGACGACATCCTCAGCATGAGGATCTACTAGCATGGTCTCCAACAGTTGTTGGATTTCAGGAGCAGGGTTTGCCGGTGGTGGAGAGACCTCATCGTGGTGTGGTAGGTCATCCCAGAGCCTCCCCTAGGTGGAAGAGGAAAGGTATCTGATCATTCCAATAAACTTTGATAACTGCAATATTGTATATTCTTTTTCTTATTCTGGTTCCATAGATACCACCGTTGATAGAGCGATAGTGAAGGCTCTTTATGCTTCTAAAGCGACATTTTCCCTTCTTCCTAAAAAGGCGAGGTTTGATGACCCAGTGCTTTTCGGTAGAGGTCTGATAACTAGGTTGTTTCCTAGGAACAGGATCTGATGGAGTCCCCACACCTTCCCAAACTGGGACTCCTGTGTGTATCAAAACTAGCTCTTGTACCACTATAGGAATTGAGACTCAAGTGCAGTCTTCTATGGGGTCTGTAGCTCCACATAGATGCCCTGCTCCTAGTAGTGGCTTAGTGTCCATGCTTCAATGTGAATTCGATCATGGAACGACTTTGGAGTCTATGACTTCTGGGAATATCAAAGAGGTTGGATCTCAAGGTCTACAGGGCATTATCAATACCGTGATAGAGGGGTTTTCTATGGGATGCCTTTATTCTTAACTTTGATTTTGTACTCGCCTCTTTCCTTATGTTATGTTTTTTGCACGCTTGTAGGTGGCTACCACTTTTTCCTGCCTTTTTTCAAGAGCGATCAAGCCTGGAAAGGCATCCAGGGATTTGGTAAAAGAGAGGCATGCATGAGAGGTTGTTGAGGAGCAGTTAGGGTTGCTTATGAAAAAGTAAACCTCTTGAGGCCAAGCTTTTGGCGACTCGTGAGAGAAGTGCTAAGCTGGAGATTGAGGTTGCTTGAGAGTAAAGGTTGGATTAGGCTGAGCTTTTTTGGCGACTCATGAGAGAGCGCGAAGCTAGAGACATAGGTTGTTTGGGAGCAGAGGTAGGATTAAACCAAGTTTTTTGGTAACTTGCGAGAGAGGTGCTAAGCTGAAGACTAACAAGGAGACTGCTTGTGTAAGACCAAAGTCAAAGTTGCTAGCGTCCCGTGAGAGGGACGCAGGAACTGAGGTCGAGTTATGTATAGCTCAGAAGAGGGCCGCAGTGGCAGAGGCTCATTCCATTGAGATGGAGGTGAGGAGGGAGGCTGCTGAGAAGGTTGTTCATTTTTGGTAGTGATCGACCTTTTTTATCTCCTAGTTGGGACAATGAAGACCGAGACCTAATTGATTGCAATTGAGCCCATTTTACAATCTGTGCAAAGAATAACTATACTTTTCGCTTTTTGAGATTCAATTATTCTTCATTGGGAAGTCATTTGACCTAATTACCCATTATTACCAAACAAATAAAAAACTCACGTACAACTCTAAAAAGATTCAAAGAGGGAGAATGGCTTAGTTGACAAGTCAGCATAAAAATCCAAATTTTCAATGCGGAAATAGTGTTTTTTTTAAACCCAAGACACATATTATAAACACAAAATAAAAGTACAAAACAAGAATATGCTTTTTTTTTTTTTTTTTTTACGGTTTGGGATATTTGAGTTAATTTATGCACATTTCAATTAATATTTTTTTCAATTTAGTAAAAAATAGACTATTCAAATCAAGATAAAAATATTTATAAAAAATAAATTTTTTATGATCCGACATTTAAATTTATAGTTGATATCAATTGTTATTTGAAGTACGCAAAGGCGTTAAGTAAGAATATGCTTTCTCCTGTATTGTCATAATTGCATTACTTCCCCTCCCCTCCCCTCCCCTTTTTGTTTTTTATATTCACCTGGAACTCCCCTGGCATGTTCGTTTTGGTATTAAATTAATCCTAATTACTGTAATTAACTTTATCGTAGCACTAGATTCTCTATACAACTCTTAAGCCCTCCTAAATAATAAAACCACTCATATTTTGCCACATCAGCTTCAAACAAGAGAAATTTGACGTGTCATTATTTGATTGGAAGGTGTTGTGCAGTTGCGTAAACAGGTCAAAATTGGGAAACCCAAAAAAACATATAGGTATTGGGTCAATGAAGAAAGGTGGATAGGGAAAGAGCGAGGAAGCTTAGGGGGCGATTGAACCGCTCTCCCGTTTTCTTTATAACGAAGATAGGGCAGATCTCGTTTTCGATTCTCTCACTCCACTGTTTCCACAGAGAGAAATCAAAGCCTCAGCTCTCTCTCTCTCTCTGAACATCAACACTTCCACAATACTGGTACTTCCTAACCCTAACTCTGTTTCATATCTATGTCGTTACACAGTTAAAATAGCGACACATACATATATGTTTCTAGAAACTGTACAGTCACTTCTAGATCTTTTCGATTATTGAATTTGCTGTTTGGTTTAGATTTTTATGTGTCTCGATTTTGTAGTTTTAGATCGTGAATTTATGTTTTGAAATTAGTTGATTGCAGGTGAATTGTGTGGCTTTGTCAAATTATTTTGGTCGATTATTTGGGGAATTCTGTTGATTTTTTTGAGTATAAATGGGGAAAGGAGGGGAAAATTTTGGGAAAAGAGAGAATTTAGGGGAAAAACGATCATCTGATCGGGAGGTTTTCGCGGCGTGGTCAAAAGATGTGAGAGAGTGTGAAGAGAAGTTTCAGGTGAATAAAGATTTTGGATTGTCGAGCGATAACGTTGAAAAGTTAAGGAAGATCTATGGATGGAATGAGTTGGAGAAGCATGAAGGGCAGTCAATTTTGCGGTTGATTTTGGACCAGTTTAACGATACTTTAGTTAGAATTTTGCTCGTGGCTGCAGTGGTTTCGTTTGTCTTGGCTCTGTATGATGGTGATGAAGGTGGTGAAATGGAAATTACAGCGTTTGTTGAGCCATTAGTCATATTCTTGATCTTGATTGTGAATGCAATAGTTGGGGTTTGGCAAGAGAACAATGCAGAGAAAGCATTGGAGGCACTTAAAGAGATTCAATCAGAGCAAGCGACTGTGATTCGTGATGGGCAAAAGCTATCCCATTTTCCTTCAAAAGATATTGTTCCGGGGGACATCGTTGAGCTGAGGGTTGGGGATAAAGTGCCAGCAGATATGAGGGTCTTAAAATTGATTGGCCCAACTCTTCGAGTTGAGCAGGGGTCATTAACTGGAGAGAGTGAAGCTGTTAGTAAGACGGTGAAGGCTGTTGCGGAGGATGTGGATATTCAGGGGAAGAAATGTATGGTGTTTGCAGGGACGACTGTTGTGTATGGTCACTGTATCTGTTTGGTTACTCAGACCGGTATGAATACGGAGATAGGCCTGGTGCATTTGCAGATTCATGAGGCTTCTCAGAGTGAGGAAGATACGCCTTTGAAGAAGAAGTTGAATGAGTTTGGGGAGGTTTTAACTGCTATAATTATGGCGGTCTGTGCATTGGTTTGGCTTATTAACGTGAAATACTTTCTCACTTGGGAGAGTGTTGATGGTTGGCCAAGGAATTTCAGGTTCTCATTCGAGAAGTGCACTTATTATTTTGAGATTGCTATTGCATTGGCAGTTGCTGCCATTCCAGAAGGTCTGCCAGCAGTTATCACGACGTGCTTGGCACTTGGCACACGCAAGATGGCTCAGAAGAATGCACTTGTTCGCAAGTTGCCCAGTGTTGAGACTCTTGGTTGTACAACGGTTATTTGTTCTGATAAAACGGGTACTCTCACGACCAATCAGATGGCAGTTTCTAAGCTTGTTGCTATGGGTCCTAGGACAAACACTATTCGATCATTCAATGTGGGAGGGATCACGTATAATCCTTTTGATGGAAAAATACAAGACTGGCCGCTAGGTCAAATGGATACCAACCTTCAAATGATTGCCAAGATTGCTGCTGTGTGCAATGATGCAGGCATTCAACAATCCGGCCAGCATTATGTTGCCAGTGGACTACCGACTGAGGCAGCATTGAAGGTAAGATAATGGGATGATTCTTATCTGGCTTTCAAATGAATGCTTGTGCTTTACATAGGAGAAATCCAATCCGTTTATTTATATCTGTAAAAGAAAAGAAGCATAATATTATATCTTAGTTTCATGTTGCATGAAAGTATGAAACATTAAATTTAGCATATTCCCTGCTTTTTATGTTCTTTCACAAGTCTCTTTCGGAGCATCAGCCTTTTTTTTGTCATTCTAAAAGTTTCTTTAGTTGATGCATAAAAACTTGCCAGTTAAGAAAAATTGAATTGAAGACGGTTTTTGCCTTCTGATTTTTTAGGTTCTGGTTGAGAAAATGGGACTTCCAGATGGACTGAATTCTGGTTCATCTTCTGGTTACGTCGACACACTGCGTAAGTTATTATTTATATATTGTTTGCTTTTCATTTTTGTTTTGTATGCTGACATCCTTGTTCTTCAATTCCATGAAATTAAGGCTGTTGCCAAACATGGAATAAAATTGAACAACGGATTGCAACTCTTGAGTTTGATCGTGATAGGAAATCCATGGGAGTCATTGCAAATTCCAGCTCCGGGAGAAAGTCATTGTTTGTGAAGGTGCGCCTTGTCTGTTTTTAGCTCTCTGGAGTTTTTTTTTTATTGGAACATGTTGATTGACAGAAAATGTGATCTTTGTTTTGCAAGACTTTCATTACTAATAATGAAGGTTACCTACGTAATGGAACAATAATATGTCATGCTACATGTTGATTAACATTTTCTGTCAATCAACAAGTTCCAAGTTTCTTGTTCATACTGCTTTTCCATTACGCCTCTTTTTTTTCCATTTTTTGCCATTTGAGCTTAAATGCGAGAGAGATTAGGGGGGGTTTGTTTTGGAGTGAATAAAATAGAGTATTACATGAAAATCTTGAACAACAAATGATTGGGGGGGGGGGTTGACCAGGTTCTTGGTTCTTTCCCTAATTCATGCACCTCTGGTATTAATTAAGCAGCACATCCTTGTATAGCAATTCTGAACAGAGAATAGCTCAAGGAAACTCACTTATTCTGAAGATGAAATTATTCTCTCACAGTTTGAGAAGCTAAGACAGCAAACAGCTCCTCTCACATCCCGAGAGACTAGGATGACTCATCCTTTCAAAGATTTTAAAAGTTGGTCAATAAAAGTCAGGTTAAGGAAACTCCATCCTACACTATATGGTATTGGCACAAGATAGATTCAACATCATAGTTATTGGCATGTGCATTCCACTATCCTTACTAATCTGTGCCTAATGGGTTCCTCCATACCACCATTACAGCATTGGGTTCACTTCACTTTTCAGATTTTCATTGTCGGGTCTCTAACAATTGGACACATCTTGACCCAGGGTTTTAATCTGAAGTTCATGGGTAAAATGCATCAGAACATAACTTGAGTACCCAACCCAGATTAAAAAAAATAAAAGTGAGCTGCACTGAGTTTGAAAAGGGTAGAATACCTGTTGCTTCAAACACATGCCCACAACACCGTGTCTGAGCAGCATTTTGATTGAGTAGTTTAGCGTAACTCTGGCTGTTGATATGCTAGTATTCAACAAGTGCTGATTCGCTTGCCTCATCCAATTGTTGAAGTACAGCAGCTTTACATAACTTACTTAATTGGTTGACAGAAGGACCAGTCATTGAACTTCAGTTAGATGCTTTTGCAGTCTAGGCTATTAATGGTGCATTTACCATATTACGGTTGAGGAAATATTATGAAGTCTAACAGGTCTGCAATACAACAGCATAATACAGGTCCTGGTAGTTTGTGTTTTATAGAAACTGACCAAAGACATATAATTTCAATAGGATGTTTTGAAGGCTGATCATTCAAATCCACTGCAGAATGTAACAATTTGGGAGTTTTGGGGTCTACATGGGAAACGTCCTCTGTTCAAAAAAGGAAACTGCTCCTTAAGGTCTGCAATACAACAGCCTCATGCAGGTCCTGGTATTGTGTTTTATAGAAACTGACCAACTACAGATATAATTTCAATAGGATGTTTGAAAGCAGATCATTCAATGCTCTGCAGGATGGCACAATTTGGTATTTTGGGTTCTACATGGGAAATGTCTTCTGTATAAAATAGGAAACAGCTTCATTAAGAAGCTTGTCAACTCTAAAATGAAGTTTAAGCAGTACTTCAGACTGTGCCTATAAAGTTAACTTTATGTCACTATCTTGGCATTATGTTTCCATGTAAATTGTGTGCTATGAGCCTATGACCAAAAACGAACATACTCAGAATTTTCATGTAGCAGAACTGTTTTGACTTTGGTCCAGATCCTTTTTTGACATTAGCCTCCCTGTGGAGAGGATTGTTTGGGACTGTTTTTTTTTTTTTTTTTTTTTTTTTTGGGGGGGGGGGGGGGCTAGGGGTGGAGTGTTGGCAAATTCAAAAATATTTTGGTTAATTTGTCATCATTTTTTTGTCCGAATCTTGGTCAATGTCATTCATGGCTTGCTTATTAAATAAAATAAGGGGGTCAAAATTTCTCAACGATTTATGGGTGTTTCACTTGTAGGTTTACTATTGCAAGCATGAACTGTGTTCCGTATTGCCCAAGTTTGGAATTCAGTGTAGTCTGTTCTCTGGGCAAATCTAATCGTTGTGGATGTCTGCCACTACATTTTTGTTCGCACCTTTTGCATACATCATGTGTACATGGTTTATACTACCATTTCAGGCTCTTTCTAATGATACTTAAGCTTAAAATAATTATGCCAATGGAAGTTAGGATGGTTCCCCCATGAGTGCATTCTATATCCTCCATTTTTTCTGTCATTTACACACAAGCACATATATCATATACCTATACAGATTCATCTACATATGTATGCATACACACACGTCCCGCGTATTGTTTGTCCTCCATTTTGTGGTTTTTTAATTCATGACTTATTAAATTATGTGCTACATCATTGCAGGGTGCAGTAGAAAATGTGTTGGAAAGAAGCTCCTTTGTTCAATTGCTTGATGGCTCTGTTGTAGAACTGGATCAAAGTTTTAGGGATCTTATCTTACAAAGCCTTAATGAAATGTCAACAAGTGCATTGCGTGTTCTAGGGTTTGCATACAAGGAGGACATTCCAGAATTTGATACATATAATGGTGACGAAGACCATCCAGCTCACCAGCTTTTACTTAATCCAGATCGCTATTCTTCAATTGAGAGCAAACTAATCTTTGTTGGCTTGGCTGGGCTAAGAGTGAGCATAAACAATTGTTGTCATTTTCCTTTTAACTCTTCAAGTTCTTGTGAGCTTTAAGAAGATGTGGACTGAGCTGAATAACTTGACTTCATATGTCCCAGGATCCTCCCCGGAAAGAGGTTCGCCAAGCAATTGAGGACTGCATAGCAGCGGGCATTCGAGTGATGGTTATTACAGGAGATAACAAGAATACAGCAGAAGCTATTTGTCGTGAAATAGGCATATTTGGGCCAAATGAGGATATCAGTTCAAGAAGTCTGACAGGAAGAGATTTTATGGATTATCACGACCAAATAAGTCATTTAAGGCAAAGCGGAGGGCTCCTCTTTTCTAGGGCTGAACCAAGGCATAAACAGGAGATAGTGAGGCTGCTTAAAGCAGACGGTGAAGTGGTTGCAATGACTGGGGATGGGGTGAATGATGCACCTGCTTTGAAATTGGCTGATATCGGGATTGCAATGGGAATTGCTGGGACTGAGGTATTTATTTTTACTTTTCTTTTGTTCATTATACCTTCTAACAATATCTGGAAAATGCCTAGGAGCCAGCACATTAAAATGAAAAGCAAATGGTCCATGTGGTATGCTCTTGTGTATAGCGTTTCAGCTTGGTCCAGTTTTATACATTGTCCTAATAGTAGTCGTCATTATTTGGGCATGCATTCTAGAATGACTCCTATTGTAGCTACATTTTGCATGAGGATTCGGTTCCCCACCTTTTGACTTGGTGTTCTGTCTAATTGTTGCCAGAGTAGATCATTTGAGCTGATGGAGCATATTCTTGTTTGTGTGGGGTAGATGCCTTGGTACTTGTGCCTTATTGACCCATTTTTTTTTTTTTATCATTTTTATTCATTTGGGTTATGATTCTTGGGAAATGATACTAACCACAATTTCGGTGATCTATAATTTTGTGCATCTCGTCTCCTTCAACAACCTTTAGTTTTAACCCTTGTTCCACTTCCTTTTTCAGTTCTGTTTTTCTGTCAAGCCTTCCAAGACCTATTCTTCCTCTTCCTGACAGCTTTTTGTGCTGCAATGTAGTTGATTTAAATTCATTCCTTTGCTTTATATGTATCTTTTCCTTGTGCCAGGTGGCAAAAGAAGCTTCTGATATGGTCTTAGCAGATGATAATTTTGGCACAATTGTTGCTGCTGTTGGCGAAGGGAGATCTATTTACAATAATATGAAAGCCTTCATCAGGTTTGATTTTCTTCTGTGCTTTCTCTATCTTTTAGCAAATTCCTCTATAGGGCTGTTTTGTTAGACCAGCTTGACTGTTTACTTTAATGGGACTATGAGCACTCAATTCATCACAATGGACACATTGGCAATTTCTTTCATATTTTTTACCATTTGTTTTGCTAACTTGCATCAATAATTTTTTGGGAAATATATGTTGCAAGATTGCGTTGTAGGAAATCCTATCCATTATATATTATAGCACTGCCTGATGATACTGTTATATAGTTATTCGAATAGTGGCCCTATTGGGCGAAAAAATCCTTGCTCTGCCTTTGGCTGATTGCGTATTTGAGGATGATTATATCTACTTTCTTTATGGAGAAACCTCTGATGAGGAAAAAGCAGAGATATCAAACACAATATTTTGTTTTCATCATCCTTGGGTATTCAAACCCTGGTTTACCTATTAATAGATTGATGCACGGGGTTGACTACTGGATGACATGAGATGGCTGGATGGTTTTGGATCACTTTCTATTTTGATTCCTCGACTTATTAGACTATTTGCGACGCAAAGTAATGGATTCTCAATTCTTCAGAGCTCAATGTGATGTGTTGAAATATCGGGTTTTTGGAGTCGAACAATTCTTTCTTTTCTGATGGGTTTCCCTTTGCAGATCTCCTTGAAAGGGAAGGGAAATTGTTGCTCCATTTCTTCCACTTTTGGCCGCATCCAGTCTTTGACCTTGTGTAGAATTTGTTTCCAGATTGGGTCCAACTTGCTGCAATCTTAGTTGTGATATACGCAGTATGATTCCTTGGTTTTAGTTTTAATACTAGTGATAATAGTGCTCTTCTGAAAATCATCACAGGTACATGATTTCCTCAAACATCGGTGAGGTTGCCTCTATATTTCTGACAGCTGCTTTGGGTATTCCAGAGGGTCTGATTCCTGTTCAGCTTCTGTGGGTCAATCTGGTGACGGATGGACCTCCAGCAACAGCTTTGGGATTTAATCCACCCGACAAGGATGTAATGAAGAAGCCTCCCCGAAGAAGTGATGATTCATTGATCAGTGCATGGATTTTATTCCGCTATCTGGTATCGTAATTTTATACTTTTTCCTTCTGAAATCAATTCCTCTCAGGTAACTGAATTGTGAGGTAATGTATATAATTTATTGTACTTGCTTTCTCTCAATCTTGATGCAGGTAATTGGACTCTATGTTGGTATAGCAACTGTGGGAGTATTCATCATATGGTATACTCACAACTCTTTCTTCGGCATTAACCTTAGTGGAGATGGTCACAGTGTTATCACTTATTCCCAACTTGCGAACTGGGGGCGGTGCCATTCCTGGGATAATTTCTCAGTTTCACCTTTCACAGCTGGGGCTCAAGTGTACAATTTCGACACAAATCCATGTGACTACTTCCAGACCGGCAAAATTAAGGCCATGACTCTCTCCCTCTCTGTATGTGGTTGCCATCGAGATGTTCAATTCCCTTAATGCCCCCTCTCTGAGGATGGGAGCCTGCTAACAATGCCTCCATGGGTTAACCCATGGCTCCTTTTGGCAATGTCAGTCTCATTTGTCTGCTGCACTTCTTGATCCTTTATGTTCCTTTCCTTGCTCTAGTCTTTGGCGTTGTACCTCTCAAGCCTGAACGAGTGGTTGTTGGTATTGGCTGTTACTCTCCCGGTGATTTTAATTGATGAGATTCTCAAGTTTGTGGGTAGGTGTACGAGTGGATTTCGATATTCAGGTGCAAGGAAACCGTCTAAGCACAAGGCCGAGTGAAGACAAAATCGAACAATCTCAGCTGGGGGATATTTCTACTCATAAGGCAGGCCTCAACAGGCTGGCCCGTTGGTCCACCTTGTAAACCTATTCTTAATATACAAGGGGTTGGTTTGGAGCTTGGTGGCTTAGACATGTGTAATTCAGATTAACAGTAGAATTTAACAGGACTTGCTAGTTTTGTTTTACCTTTGATTGGCCTTATAATACTGGGGCAGATCTCACTCCATGTTGGAGCATTATGAAATTATCCATTGAAACTTTCATTTTTTATATGCCTTTGGTTGTATTTGGTGGATCTAGACATGCAAAAGTTAGTTCGAGGAATGAGAAAGTGATGATGGATCAGATGATATCAGGAATTTAGCATCTTTTGAGGAAGAAATAAGCTTTTGTTTCGTCTTTAATTTTCTATTCCCGGAGTATATACACTATTGTTTGCGGTATTTGAATCTTGTTTACAACCTTAGAAGAGGTACATAACGAGTGCGGTTTGATTTGGGCAACATGACATTTTTCATGCGGCTATTCTCATGGCTTCTTGGTTTAGGATTTATCCACGTACATGCTGTAATTGGAAGTTATATATACATCAAGCTTATGTTGCTACAACACAGGCAAGGCAATCCTTCTATAGAACACTGAAAGGTTTGGGACTAGTAGTACGTAGCAGCACGTTCAGGACACGGGGCAGTCCTTCAATTTACGGAATGTTTCTTAAAAATGAAGCAACAAAACGAAAAACTCAGTTTATGGCGGAAGCATATGACTCTATAGAATAAAACGCAATAATCGTTCTTCCCATTGTACCAAAATGGCCCATTGCAATGGTCAAGGCAGCTGAGATTCAAATCCTCCCTCTCTCCTGTCATATCATTCCACAAAATAAAATGTACCTAAAGCATACGTAATAGAATATATCATAAACTTACATAAATAAGTCCCTACATATCCTCTAATAATGTCTTTAAGGGTTAAGGGTCTTTTGGATTCATTAAAACATAATTCGACACATCACGCAATAAAGTCGGCGGCTTTATTGCTCTCCCTCCAACAACGGGTGACTCTAAAAGAATGTAAAGACTCTTGTATTTTTAGTGAAATTTGAATTTGTCCATTGAAGTGCCTTGTATCAAATCAAAATTTTTACTCAAATTTAAATAAAAATTAGAAATGCCCTAATGTGTATACACCATATACATATATTATATTGTGCGCCTCAAAATATCAACTTTTTCATTCTATTGGCACCTAAACTCAAACTCAAATTTAAGTAGAAAAATGAGTAAAAAAACTTAATTTGATACAAGATACTCTAGTGAATAAACTTAAATTTAAATAAAAACAAACTCAAATTTAAGTAAGGCAAATTCAAATTTAAAAGAAAGTGAAATATGACCATTAAATCTTTTAAAAAAAAAAAATCTAACAATTGAAAATTTGAGTAAATATTTGAAAGTTAAGTCTCCCTTCATTTGGTATAAGTTTGA